TTTCCCCATTTGTACTAGAGACATACACAGTCGTTCAGGTGATCATCACAAAACAGACTACTGACCAAAACACATGATGATGGTTCACATGTTAGGTATTCTTAGATAACCAATAGCGTATTACGAGTATCAGTCAGCCTAGGTGTTAGGTGTACTACCAGTAGTATTAGGGGTCTGGTCTCTCATGTATAAAAGCCAGAGTAATACAACGTAGAGGGGCATCTTGGTTATACAACTAAGACCTGCCTACTTCATCCAACTCTCTCTCTGAGCTAACCACTCTCAAGACAAGCTTTCGTCTTACCTCTTGAAACTACCACACCACTACAAGTGAGTTCTGGGGTTAGAGTAAGGGTTAGGGTCAAGGGCACATACCTTGACACTACCATAAATTATCTACAAGGTTTTGAATTTGCTCATGACAAGGATAACTGCATGAGAAATTGTAGATAAAAGTAGATGAGGAGTGAATGTGGGTCTGTAATATGCTGGTAAAATTTCATTAGGGTTCAAGCTGCATATGTACAGTCATGATATACATGGTATGGAAGCAGTGGTTTAATGCAGGACAACAACATGGATAATATTAAGGGACCTAATAACTGAGGATCAGGAGTTCAACTTATAATTGATACTAAACTTATACACATGAGGCTGACATGCTTATACTTGAACTAGACTTGTAGACTAAGCCACTATAACTGATAGTGGTGGTAGGCATGGTTTGGAGGGTTGTAGTCATAGTTTAGAGGGTATGCGCAATACTTTGAATGAGGTTCAAAGTCAGACTGAGTTCTGCTGAGTGGGGGATGTGATTCTGCATGAGTCTCACTACTAGGGGCTGAGTACTACTTTACAACCATGCAAAACAGCTCTTAAATATCCCTCATTGTTCCCAAAGCACCTGAGTCACTGCCTCTGCTGCCCTGAATATGCCTAACAATCCTGATACCCTCCCAATTTTAGCCCAATGTCTCTATCAGCTTTGACTCCTGTCCCATATGCTACATCCTGCTAGTCCTGGAGACTCAACTGTTGTGAGCCTTGGCATTGTGACACAAGCACACTGACCCAATGTATTGCCTGATGACCCTGCATTGTGCGCCTTGGTCTCTTGGTGATGGGGATTTTCTCTCAAAGACAAGTTCCCGGAAGATAGCCCTCTTCAGAAGCTCTCAATTGGATCAGAGCAAGGTTGCAATTCTTTGAAGATGTCAAAAAATGGGTTTTGGTCGAAGGCATTATTGTGTTTGGGGTATTGCAGACTTCCCCAAAGTTGAACACTTCAAACACTTCAAGTGGTGATTTGGACTCAAAACTCACCTATACACTACATGGGCCTATCAATGGCCTTCCAGCAAAGCTAATATACCAGTGATTCAGTCTCTGTCCAAATGCACTCTCTGGTGCACATACCATACAGCCAGTCTTTTAACAAACTGCCCAAACATTTGTTCCTTCAAGTTGTTTGTAAACCTTCCTGGTTGCACAATTTTGAATCTTCTCTCCTTCTGGTCTTGTGATAGGCCTCTTGTAATAATTTGTTATTGAACTGGCCAATTAAGGTGTTCAAATCATTTCTCAATTGTATATTTGCATTCTCTACTGCTGCTAAGCGTGCATTGACAGCTGTAATATCTTTCTATTGGTCTGAAACTATTTTCTCTGCTCGCATGCTTCTAATAAACAATTCTCTGAAAACTCGTTTTATCTCTGTTGTTATAGTGTCTGTGACACTACCAAGGATTTCTATCCATGCACATCTGGTAGATATAAAAGAGTCTCCTAGATAGTATTCATGCAGCACCTCTTGATCTAATTGTGGATTGAGACTGTACAATGCTGGGTTGGGCCTGATGCCAGCCATTGGTATGGTGGTAATAGGTATCGAAGTTATTGTTGAAAGATGTTATTATAATTTCATAATAGTACTTGATACTACTACTGACATCCAATTATTGAAAGATAAAACTAAAGATAGTTGTTCTAGATGACACTGTCTTTCCCTAACTCCATATAATCTGCTTCTTGTAATATCACCTCTACAAGTCATCCTAGGTTTTTAAACCTAGTGTCACCAAACTTGTCCTTGACTCAATTAACAAACTGCATAAGCGGTCACCTTATAATCAGTCTATATACATCTGCACTACAATAGTTGATATTTAGGAGAATACCTCCTATTCTTCATATCAAAAACCTGACCTGCTCCTGCTGAGTTGTATTCAGAAGAGAATACCCTGACTTGTACTGGAGCCCTTGCAGATTGCAATGGATCCTATTCAAGTGTTGCTTATTAACAAAGGCCAAGGAATCTTCTTGTTGATTCCTTTGGCAATGTGTCTGGTGAATACTCTCTGCTCTAGTGTAGGGCTGAGGCACATATTCTATAGTTTGTTCTGGTCCTGTGCAGAACCAATCAATGTCCTGTTGGACATTGTCTGTGATAGGTGTAGGGGGGCATGTGTGAGAGTAGGATGCCTGTAGTGGTGTCTTTCTCCTGGAGTATCCCTGTTAGTAGTCCTCCTGCTGTGAAGCCAAGGAGGGAGTGGCCTACTAGGTTCCAAGCACTCTCTCAATTCTCCTTCTGAGATTGATGCACTTACACTACTGACAACTGTGCTGTTGGATAATATAGGGTCCTCTGCTATTTCTCCTGCTATCATGTATTCAAGAGGAGATTCCTCTTCTTCCTGGCATTGGTGTTTGGCTTTCTCAGCCTTAGCTTCTGCTATGCCTTCAGCAAGAAGGTGGAAGTTGGAATACTAGGGGGGTGGGGGAATCTAGGCTGGCAGTGGTGAGTACTGTGGGGCAGGTGTGTCTGATACTTCTGGTGCTAGAGGTGGTGAGAAAGATAGTGCTAGAGTCAAATTGAAGTCATTTGGATCTCAAAGCAATTCTTCTGATTATATGTGTTCTACTACTCCAGTTACTACCTCATTCTGTAAAGCTGCTAATATTAGTTTGGCTTCAGGATCTCTGACTCTGTTCCAGAGTTCTTCTTCCAAGGTGCTCCTAGTGATCTCAGTATCCTCAGGCAATGAGACAACTCTCTAAAGAAACTACTGAGTTGGGATAGGTACATGAGATGATGTGGGAATGGGTGATATGCTAACCTTGACTTTGTCAGCTATGTTCCTATCCTGTTCTCTAATCCTGATACTCTCTTATAGAGTACCTGCAAGCCTGACATACTCTTGGCACAACTCTTGCTGCCCACAACTTTATAGTCTGTTGGCAAAGAGACCAGCAATTTGTTCTTCAATAAATGCTAGTTGTTCAGCAGCAGTCCCAAAGAATGGGAAGTAGGAAGGGGAGGATGAGGTATGAGCTTCTTGACAGTCCTGAGAGGCAGACTGGGAAGCATATGATAACACTTCCTGAAGGGATAAGTTTATCTGTTAAACAAACAGATCTGATGATGCAACCTCGGGAAACCTAACCCTAACTTGGGGGGCATGAAGTAGAGGGTAAGTTTCTGTTTCTCAGGGAAGCTGATGGGGGTGAGGGCTTGTAGTTCTGATAGCTCGCTCAAATGGCAACAACTTCACTATGTCTTCTTGGGATGGTATCATGAGACTGTTTCGGACTGTCCAAACACTCTGTCACAGAATTTCATGGCGCCTATCTTATCTACAGTGTTTAGATGATCT